CGTCCTAGCAGGATCTCTGCCGCCTTCCCCTCCCTGCCCAGGGCTCACCACACCTCGTTGGACCAGAGTTCCCCCCCGCAGACAGGCAGCCCGGGGACCCCTCCATCCTACAAGCTCCCCCTCCTCGGCACCTACGACGGCCGGGATGACTTTCCTCTCCGGAAAACTGGTGGGTGCCGGTGGGCGGGGAGGGCATGACACACCTCCAGGGGAGGTGACACGTTTTGGGGTGACATGTTTTGGGGTCCCCCCAGCCTCTGAGCCCAACCTGAAGGTGCGGTCGCGGCTGAAGCAGAAGGTGGCGGAGCGGCGGAGCAGCCCTCTCCTGCGGCGTCGTGACGGCTCCGTGCTCAGCGCCTTCCGCAAGCGCCACGTCGAGATCACCGGTGCGTCCCCCGGGGGCGGGTGTGACGCCATGGGCCACGCGGGAGGTCATGGGTGGGGACACGCCACCTGCCTCACTTTCCCCAGGTCACCCGGTGGTTCCCCAGAGCGCCCGGGAGGGACCCACGTCCCCGTCCTTGTGGCTGCACAGGACTGTGGGACACGTGTACTGCTGGACACGTGTGCACGTGTGTGCTTAGACACTCGCTGTCCAGAAGGAGTGTGCGTGTCTGCACACACACTTGTGCATGTGTGTGTTTCTGCACATCTGTGTGCAACGTGGGGACACACTGATGCTGCACATCTACACGCGTGCTTGTGCAACATGTGTGCTCGTGCACGTGTTTGCAGCATGAGTGTGCACATCGCACGTATGCTTGTGCAACAAGAGTGCGTGCACTGCTGCTGCACACGCTTGTGGAACATGTGCACACACATGCGCTTGTTCCTGTGGGAGATTTTTCACATGTGCTTGAGCAACACTCATCACCCCCAAGGTAAATGCTTGTGCAACAGGAGTGCGCATCCGCGCACACACTTGTGCACGTGTGTGCTTGTGCGACAGGAGGGCACCGTGCTGCTGCATGTGTGTGGAACGTGCACATGCTGGTGCACACGTGCTTGTTGTTGTGTGAGTTTTTTCACACGTGTGCTTGTGCAACACGTGTGCACACGCATGATTGCGGACACACTTGTGCAACGTGAATGCATGTCCGTACGCACCTGCTTGTGCAGCACATGTGCTTGGGCACGTGTTTGCAGTGTGAGTGTACACATGACCCCTGTGCTTGTGCAACAGGAGTACACATACTGCTGCTGCATGCGCTTGTGGAACACGTGCACGCACGTAGGCTGGTTCCTGTGGGAGGTTTTTAACGTGTGTGCTTGTGCAGCACATGTGCACACGTGCGTTTGTAATGTGAGTGTGCACATCTGCACGTGTTTGTGCACGTGTGTGCTTCTCTATGTGTGTTCCTCTGCAAAACGAGTGCACGTGTGTTCATGCACACACTAATCCATGCACGTGCCTTTGCGGTGGTGCCACACGTGTGCACAGGTGTGCTGGTGCCCTTGCACCGCCCTGTCCCTGAGGTGGGTGGGGGTCCCGGTGTCCCCATCCCTGTGTGTGACACACACATGTGCTGCAGTGTCCTCGGTGTGCAGCAGTGCCCCCGGGTCGGGGCCCAGCTCCCCCAACAGCTCCCACGGTGCCCACAACGGCCTGGCCGCCTCCGTCCCCAACATCCACACCGAGGTACAGCCTGAGGGGAGGGAGGGGCACTCGTGTGTGCAGGTGTGTGCTGGGGGTGTGCTCAAGGTGTACATGTATATTCGGGTGTGTGTTGGAGATGGGCTCAGGGGGCACACGTCTGTGCAGGTGTGTGCTGGGGGTGTGCTCAGGGTATACATGTACATTCCGGTGTGTGCTGGAAGTGTGCTCAGGGTGTACGTGTGTGTGCAGGGGGGTGCTAGGGGGGTGCTCAGGGTGTACGTGTGTGTGCAGGTGTGTGCAGCCAGCATGTGTGGGTACACATGTGTGCTCAAGTGTGCGGAGCCAGTGTGTCCATGTTCAGGGGGCACGTGTATGTTCAGGTGCGTGCTGGGGGTGTGCTCAGGGTGCACACATGTTCAAGTGTGTGCAGCCAGCATGTTTGCGTGCACACATGTGCTTAAGTGTGTGCAGCCAGTGTGTGCATGTTCACGGTACACGTGTGTAACCAGGTATGTGCTGGAGGTATGCTCAGGGGGCACATGTGTGTGCAGGCATGTGCTGTGAGTGTGCTCAGGGTGCACACGTGTGCTCAGGTGTGTGCTGGGGGTGTTCTCAGGGTGCACATTTGTGTGCAGGTGTGTGTTGGAGGTGTGCTCAGGGTGCACATGTATGTGCAGGCATGTGCTGTGGGTGTGCTCAGGGTGCACATGTGTGCTCAAGTGCATACTGTATGTTTAAGGTGCACACGTGTTCAGGTGTGCTGTGAGCGTGGCCGGTGTCAGTGGCATGTGCTGGCACACACGTGCAGATAATGTGTCACTGGTGTGCCCTGGCTCACACATGCTTATGGCGAGTTTTACCTTGGCACATGCATGCCGATGGCATGACCTGCCCCCTACACATGTGCTGATGACGTGCTGTGCCCTGGCACGTGTGCTGATGGCGTGTCGTGCCGTGTGGTGCCGCAGCAGCTCCTACCCCAGCCCCGTGCCCTGGCCCTGGATGGGGCCCAGCTCAGCCTCTACACGTCCCCGTCGCTGCCCAACCTGTCCCTGGGGCTGCAGGCCACTGTCACTGTCACCAGCACCCACCTCCCCGTGAGTGGGGGGCACAGGGACCCTTTGGGGGCATGGGAGGCGTGGGGACCCCATGGAGTGGTCACACAGGGACCTGGAACCCCATGGAGGGGATGTGGGGATGCTCTGAGGGCATGGGGACATGAGGACTCCGTGGGGGGCGGCACAGGGACCTGGCACCCCATGGGGGGGATGTGGGGACTCCCTGGGGACATGGGGATCACACGGTGGGTGGCACGGGGACCTGGCACCCCATAGAGGGGATGTGGGGGTCCCCATGGGGACCTGGCACCGGTCCATAGAGACTGGGGGGGGACCCCAAAGAGGATGGCATAGGGACCACATTAGGATCAGGAATCCTGCGGGGAGGGATGTGGGAACACAACAGGGGGTGGCATGGGGACCTGATACCCTCCTATGGGGGGATGGGGGGACCCATGGGGACTATGTGGGGATCCCACGGGGGTGGCACTCCAGGGGGCAGTGTGGGGATCCCCCCACTGCCACCCATGTCCCCTC